ACCTGGTTTTGCCCAGGGTTATGTATTACTAGATGAAAGCACTAATAATATATGAATTCAATACATTGTAAGCTGTTGGAAAAAATACAATATAGCTCTGAAGAATTCAGCTGGTTATTTTTGCTGCTAAACAACTGTAAGTCAAATTTCCATGTGAATTGGTCAGAAATGGAAGTTTTTAAAGGAGATTTGGGAATGGATAAACGTCTTGAAAGTTAGAGACATCAATAACAGGGGCTGTCAAATACAAGTTTGGAAGCTCTGTGTTGTACAAGGGATCCATCTAAGGAGGCTGCACCTTGTATTTTTAACTTTGATAATTGTATTCTTGTTGACAACAGCTTGTTTTAACTGAAATACATAGTTTAGGCACAAGGTGCTTTAAAATGAGATGAGAGCTAGCTCTAAGTATATCTCTTAAGATTTAAAAAAGCTCAGTGCACTGGAAATCTTCTGTTGTCAGTTTATGTCAAATTAAAATAAGATTTAATCTAGCCCTAATCTATTGTGGACTTTTCCCCAAGTTATATTATGAAAAATATTAGTTCTGGTATTTCTTTTTCTTATTCTTGTGCTTCCTTTCAAAACAAAACTTTTCAACTAGTTTTGGTGCAGATGCTTCCCCTCCACCCCCTGAAGAGTATTTATTAACCAATATACAGATAACATTACAAACTTGTGAAGTTTGAGTAAAGCACTTACTTAATTTTAAAATAAATTAATATATGTTGTCTAAATCTCTGGAAAAGGAAAATGCTTTAAATTAGTTTTCTGTCACATCTAAGACATTTATTTGCTCTAAAGAATTACATCCTAACATAGCCCATGTTTAAGATCTGAATCTTCAAAACTTTCACCGTATTACTGATACGCTTTTGTTCTCTACTTATTACATATTATAGATAATTACTACATATTACAGATAATTTGAGGAAAGTGATTTTGTCCTTCTTGAAAATCGTTTCTAGTTTGGAAAACATTTTTCATACAAAGTTATACTGTATAAAAATGTAATCACAGAATTTAATGTTTGTTTTACCAGAGCAATTATAATATTTTTTTTTCAGTTAAGTGCAGTGTTTTGAGGGCTTGTTTGGGTTTTTTTTCAGAAGTTACTTTTCCCCTCTTCTGATTTTCTTACTGTAAAGTTGAATTGCAAAATAAAAGTCAGGATCCCTTCAAAGACTGCTGTAACAATCAGATGATTTCACGTGCCAGAGCTGCGTTCTGACATGAGATGTACTGAAAACTCAGGTTTGAACAAAGCTTATGCTGGAAGGAAGGTTCTGTGACCTGACACCGTTGTGCCTGTAGCTTAAAGGTCTGAGTTACTGACTTCTTATCATAAAACGATGGAAATGATTATACAAGGAAGGATACTCCAGCTTGAAGGTCACTTAGAAACAACCAACCAGCTTCCCAAAGCAGCATGTCTTCTGACCGGATGAAGCACCCTGGAGTGCCTCCCCAGCTCATAACCCTGTTAGCTGTAGGCATCTAGTCTTAGAGATGGTAGAGATGTTCTCAAAGGTACCTGTTAACTTTCCCCTGAAATAAATGTAGGCATGTGCCATCCTTGTTATTTATTCATGTTTCAATAAATCAATCCCTTCCTATTTTGTATTTTATCTTGAACTTCCTTAATGTATATATAGTAAATGCTTTGGCTGTACAGAAGGGCCAGCTGACTACATTACAACGACACCCTCTGAATGTTAAAGTTGTAATACAAAACAACATCACTTTTGTAACCATTTGCTTGTAACTCATAACTGGGCCTCAGTTGCCAGGGCTAGCTCAGATTCACCGTAAATTGGATAGATTTCCAGTGAGTTGGTATTCATCTTGAAGGAAAATGCAGAAGCAAGCAACATCAAGACTGCTGTGTTTTATTTTATATATTTACACAAAAGGATGCAACACAAATGTTTTGAGAATGTAGTAGAAGCTAGAAGAATGTATTTTACTGTAAGAATAACCACAGGTAAACCTGACTGGGCTGAAAGTGGAGCCTACCAGAACTCAAGAACACATGGGCAGCATTTCAGCATCTTGGCCTCCAACCACCCCAGGGTGTTTGACAGGTGACCCTCACAGCAAGTTCCTGGGAGCAGGAGTCAGCCAAGATGGCTCTAAGAAAGCAACAGTTACTGAGCTCTACAGTTTTTAGCACATAAACTGTCTCCCAAGACAGTCTGGGAGCTACAGTTTCTGTGTGGGTTACGTGCATAAAGAAGAGTTTAGGCCTTCAAGAAACACCATGTAACAGCTGGAGTCCTTGCCAAGCAGGATTACACAGCTTCTAAGGATCAGAAACTTCTACCAGCTTACACAAATAGTTGTAGTTAATTGCTAATGAGAATAAACTTAAAATCTCTTTCAGGTACTATATTATAGTTTTCTGTACTTCTCCCCGTAGTACTAAGTCAGGCAATGCCCGGGGCAAAATCAATTGGATGATGAGTTGAAGAGGAATTCCATGTTGAAAAGTAAGCTCAGATTTACCTGTTGAACAAAAACCAGCCACACACAGAAGAAAAGCCACCAGCAAAAAAACCCACCAAACAGAACCACATCACAAACTCCCAAAAAATCAACATGTGAAATTCAACTCCATGTAAGCTGTGATCAGGACAAATGCAAGACACTGAGGAGAATGGGCTGTGGCAAGTCTTCAGTGGTAACATGCAGAATTTCACATTTCTAGACAGCAGTGTAGTGACAACTGTTCACATTAAACAAACATTCTCATTTGTCAGTTGGCCTCTTAACAGTTCTGCAGAATTTATGGTTTTGCATTGCAATATAAAACTATGGTGGAAGAACCATAATTTCCTTTTAGAATAAGGTTTTTATCAGAAGGCTTGATGTTTTTATGAACAAAACAGTAAGTTAAGATTCTTTATGCCTGATATTTTGGTACGCTATCGTCTCTAGCTCTCTATACACTAGCATCAGATCAAAAGACTTTTAAGCAGTTCTGTAGTTCCCTGTGATTGGTCAAAAAAAAGTTTAAATAGAAGCTTATTTGACCCTTGCAGCTGACTAAGAATTACTTCAAGGGGTTAGAGGTTATCTTTAAAATGCCATACCACTGTAACTAGGTTTTTTCCACTTTGAGGGTAATGTACCACAAAAGGAGAACAAGTTCTTAACCATTTGTAAAGCGCTAAAGACAAAGAGCTGCTGCAATATTGTTTACATTTTTGAGTGTTTTCCTCAGTGTGAACCTGAGATTAATTCTTGCAAGACTAGCTTTGCTAAATCAGATTATTAGAAACGGAAGACTGAATTGCACAAAATACCACTGATTACTTAAACTATTTTTTCCACTTCAAAATATTTTAACTACACACAGGAAAAGTGCTAAAGAACTTACCATATTCACAGAATGTTGTCTATGGACACGGCTTCAATAACAGGTTACATCTGATTGCTTGCACCTCTCATGTAACATTAATTTTGGTAAGATTTGACAATTCAGAAATTTTCTGAACCTGAAGCCCTTCACAAAGGGAGCGAGAATCCCCATGTGTTTTGCAACCTGCCAAGATTCTGTTTCGCTACATTTGAGTTATCATGCTTAGCTGTTAAGAATTAACTCTTTTGGTCCTTCTAGGAATCTTCCTTTTTCTCCACCATTCCCATTCCTTTCCCAGCTACCCGAGGGGACAGCAGGAAGCCTAGCACACACTGTTTGCTCAGAATTCCATCAATAAATCTTGTCTTCCAGGGACAACTTGCTCCCTCTGCAAGAAGGAGCAGTTCATGAGACTCAAAAGACACTTGGCAAAACTCCCTAGCAAAATGCCCAGCTTCTGGCACCACCAGCTAGCACAAGTCATCTTCATCTAACTAGTACAAACCTGAAAAATAAGAATCTTCACTAAGTCAGCTGAGAAAAATACCTATGCAAGAAAAAGATTGTAAGTGATCCTGCTTAAATTATCTTCAAATAAGCATCTAGCAGATAAAAGTTTGTGTTCCATTTAAAAATAGATTTAAACATACTTGCCCCTAATTAGGTTCTATAATACTGATTGTACACTTCTAAATTCTAGTAAAAATATAAGTTCTGGTTGTGAGTTTACAGAACAGTCTGTTAACTTGCATTATATTCTTTAATATGTAGCAGCTTCCGAATGAATAATACTTCGCTTGTTAGCTAACACTCAGGTGGGTTTATCTTCTGTCATCTGACATAAGTGAGCCAAACACATACTCAGCATTTTCTCTAAAACAAGTAGTTGCTAGAACTCTGGCTGTTAAGTCCATCCTCCCACAGTGCAAGCGGTTACAACACAACAATTTAAACAGAGCATTTGTTTAACACAACTTGCCCCAAGTATCTGTCCAGGAAAGGGCAACCACCAGCAGAACTACCATTAGTCTCACGTGCCACATCCAGCCAAGTCAACTCAGAGCAGCACCGTCTCTTTTAACCCTTCTTGGGAGAAGTTAAATAGAAGCAGGATGTTTCAACGCCGCATTGAGATTTCAATTTTCTGTCTCAAAGAGAAACATCAGTTTTGCACAGTGGAAATACAATATTCATAACTGGTCAGAAAGGACAACTCCCAAACCAGACTGCCACCCTGAACCACCAAGAGGTAAGTTATAATTAGATACACAATTAGGAAGCATTTATGTCCTCTCTGTTTAATTAGGAAATAACTTCACACCTCCTAACTGGAATTACTCATTGCTATTAAATAAAGCCCCATCATTACCAAGTGTTACTAGCTCCAAGAAAGATAGCGTTCAGGCCTCCGAGTAAGGTGCAGTGAGTGAGATAAAAAGTAGCATGAAGGCACTTGATACCAGCTAAGTTTCATACAGTATTTTCACTTTATAATAAAGGATAGAATAATAATAAAAATTGACTGATAACTTAAAACACACTCTGAACTGGGCAAGGAAACTTAGTTAAGAATCAAACTAGTGTTATAGGACAACCTGTAAGTGTGCAAAAACATGGAGTAATTTCACTTATCTTGATGCTATAAACTAAATCCAGACACTGTCAGGTGCTGAGCGTTATTCCTAGCTTCAAAGTACGAGGTATCAGTTTCATCATCAGGCTGAGGTATAAATGGCATAGTTTGATTCTGTAGATTATCCCAGTCCACACCATGAAAGAGAGGGTGATGTTTCAGTTCTGAAACAAAAGTTCACATAATTATAAATTATATGAATTTCCTCTTGTGAAAGCTCCATAGTTACCTTGTTCCCCTGGGGTATAATTGTCAGTATATTTACATCACTTTTGCTGTTTTGGAAGTTCACAAAAGTGCAAATTGCAGTTGGGTCTTGATTACTTCCAACCTCGGTGAGGTCAGACTATTGTCATGTCAACCGTCTTCCCCTCACTGGAGAACCTGTCCTACGCAGCACACCTAGTGGATTAGAGGTGCCCCAGGGGCATTTCTCATAAAATGTTAAGCATCATTTCAAAGTACATTTCTGATTTTGCCAAAGTTCTGTGCTGAGAAGATGTGGAGTCACTCATGCCCTTTTCCACCTCAGGCCACCGGCCTTTTGCATGGAGCCGTCCTCCGCTTTGTACAGCCCCTCCCACCAGAGACGGTGAAGTTACCCCATCCCACCAGAGCCCCCTTTGCCAGCTGATGGTGGGTTAACTGACCAAGCCATAAGACTTTCAAACTTAAGAACTCCCCTGCCCTCTCTGTTCTGACCAGAAGCAACTTCCTGGCATGCAGGACCTGACGTGTCTTTTGCGTGACCTGGAAACATCACTCCCTGATAAACATAGCTTTGCTACTTTGAATTGATCAAAGAAAGCACTTTTCCAGCCAAGTGGGATATATGTTTTTATCACCTGCACCACAAAAAAAAAAATCCAAAGCAAATAGAGAAAAAAAAGGACAGGTAGAAAATACCAAGTTTGGAACGAGATGGAAGCTCAGCCAAGATAAACACTCACTACAAATTTTAATTCTAAACATGTATCAGACTATTAGCTTATAGAGTCTAAGATATTCACATTTGTTTATTTTTTCTACATTTCCTGATCAAATAATATAACACAATAGTAAAGTCTGTTTTAGACAAAAGGCAATAAATCAGAAGGTTATCTCCTAACTCCTTTCAATAGCTTCATCAGCTGTACATGCAGCAGGACACTGCACAGACCCACCATCTCAGAACTGCATGAAATTCTGCTCTTAAAGCTCTCACATACTGAAAGCTGTTGTCAGCTGAAAAGGTGAGGAGACTTCATTGTCTTTTCTGGAAAAGTATTAACATGTACCATAGCTGGCAGTCAGCTCCTGCCCATAGCTTTGAAGAGGAAAAGAAAAAAAAGCCAAAAAAAGCCAAACAACCCCCAAACTTCTTTTATCTAGAAAAATGGAATGCAGAAGCACAACACTAGGACTGGATATAACTGGGATTTCTCAGTAGGTGAGGCTTCATGCTTGAAAGAGAGGGAGAGCATGTGCATTGGAGGAGGGAGAAGATATCAGTGAAAAAAAGTTAACAGTTGTTCTGAAAGCTATTCATCCAGTTTCACTTCAGTGCCATATAAATTGGATAAAGAGATCAGATACAGTAAAAGGTCCTGACAGAGAATGAATTTCCAGGAACTTCAGATTGGAAGAAGCCATTACGTGATCTAGTTTAAATTCCATGCATGACAGGCAACTAGATTTTAGCCTATCATCTAGGAATAAAGAAAATAACTTGTGTTTAGCTAAAACACCTCCCAACTAAGATATCAGCTGTTTTCTGAGAGACATTAAAGAGCCACAGAATTCCCCGTCATTTATAACTGTGTGCCTTCTCTAATTTGCATTGGCGTAGTTTCAGCCTCTAGCCTTTAGTCTCTTTATGAGCAAGCATTTCCATAATTTCCTTCTCTAGTGATTTCTTGGGTAGTTTTTTTCATATGATTTCTTGTTTTTCCAAAACATCTCACACTAAGGTTTCCTCCTATTATCTTTTTTTTTTTAAATAAGATAATTTTTTTAAAATAAGTTTGAAGTCCTGCTACAAGGGATTTTGTATAGTATGTATTAAAAATAGTGTGACCAGCAGGAGTAGGGAGGTCATTGTCCCCCTGTACACAGCACTGGTGAGGCCTCAACTCGAGTCCTGTGTCCAGTTCTGGGCACCTCAGTACAAGAGAGATGTCAAGGTGCTGGAGCGGGTGCAGAGGAGGGCAACGAAGCTGGTCAAGGGGCCAGAGAATAGATCGTATGAGGACCGTTTGAAGGAGTTGGGTCTGTTTAGTTTGAGGAAGAGGAGGCTGAGGGGAGACCTCATCACTCTCTACAACTACCTGAAAGGACATTGTGGAGAGGTTGGTGCTGGTCTCTTTTCTCAGGTAATTAGTGACAGAACTAGAGGGAATGGCGTCAAGCTTAAACAAGCTAGGTTTAGACTAGACACTAGGAAGGAGTTCTTCACGGAAAGAGTTGTGGGATATTGGACCAGGCTGTCCAGGGAGGTGGTTGAGTTGCCATCCCTGGATGTGTTTAAGCATCGCTTGGATGTGGTGTTGAGTGATATGGTCTAGGGGTGAACTTGCGAGTAGGGTTAATGGTTGGACTCGATGATCCCAAGGGTCTTTTCCAACCTGGATGATTCTGTGATTCTATTGTCTAATTCTGGGTTCCCATATGCATTCAGTAAAGAGAGGCTGATTCCTATCAAAAACCCCTTTGAAGCACCTTTTGTAAGAGGCTTCTCTCCTGAACTACAGGCTTTTAATCAAGGTTCCTAAAATCAGCTGGTTCAAAAACCCCAAATATCTGTTACTGAGTTAGATAAGAACAAATTTTGGTATGTCAGATGTCAAATACTAAACATCCACAGCAAAACAGCATTAAAGCAAAACAAAAGTTGAGTAGAAAACCACTCCACTCCCCTCAGAAAAGTATTCCTCATTCAAAAGGGCAAAATCCCACAAGAAATACAGAAAACACAATTACTTAAGTGTTCTGGCACTATATATGGAACCTAAATAGGAATCAAGATTCCACAAAGAGGACATCACCACTTTGAAATTTTCAATTAGTTGCAAAGAACACAAAAGAATTTTAATACTAACCCTTCAGTCCAGCTCTCTTAGTACTGTCAATTGTTAGAAGAATATCTATTGCATTTTGGGCATTATCAGACAGCTTTTCTTCACCTTCAGGCCAGGGAATATCTGCAAAAATGCAGATGAGTTGGTAATTCAAACCGTAAAACAAACATTGTAAATACATACTTTCCCCAATTACTAAAACAGATTACCTCTTTTCAAAATATTTTGGAAGACTTGTGTTGGTGTTTCATCATTAAAAGGAGGAATTCCAGTTAGAAACTCAAACAGACAAACTCCAAGAGCCCACCAGTCTACAGCTGAACCTGGTAAGAGAAATCCAAGTCATTACAGTAACACAGAGGTTTAATGACATTTGCAAAGTTCTAAAGATTGGCCAGAGCAGAAACTGAAGAGTGTTTAAATCCTACAAATTTTCTTGGAAATAAAAAGACAAAATGCATTGTACTCAATCATGCAGAACATTTAAAAGCCCTTCAAATATATTTTTAAAGCCCATCTGTTCCTTAATTCGTTACAGACAATACCAGGGTTTACTAATGAAAACAAGAGGGCTCTTAAGAACAATCTAATTATCAACTCCCATCACAGAGAGTCCAGGAGCTGACTTCTCTAAGAGACTGTTTTGTGATAGAAAAAGTTGTCTTCAACAACTACTCTAGAGCTTGTTCGAGTTGTTGTAACCTATACCCTTCTCCTTCTCTTTGAGAACACTCCAAGAATTCAATCTATTGAATTTGATTTTCGATTGTCCTAAGTTTACATCAAAATATTATTGAAGACAGCTCGCAGAGATGAGCCATCATGCAAGAAGCTGGAATTAGTTTCCAGCTTTTTTTTTGGTGGTTTTTTTTTTTTTCCAAACTCATCTTATGAATCTACTTAAAACCAAGCAGGCAAAGCAATCCCAGACACCACTGCATGCATTCTGAGCTTTGTGCATCTTTAAGCCATGCCCACTCCATCAAATAAAGAATAGAAGCCACACTTGTTAAAAAAATTAATAATAAATCTTTGAAAGAGAATTAAGAGTAGTTTTCCTTGGCTTTTTTGGAATATAAAAAAACCCCAAACAACAAGACACCTCCAAGTTAAGAAAGTAAATGTTTTGAGCCATTTGAGAGGACTGTTGGCAAAGTTTAGAAACATTGAAAACAGAAACATGTAACTGGTAATCTAATGCACTTTTAGCAACTTCCGACAGCAGTGAGAATGCCCCACCAAGCTAAGCGTATCAGAGCAGTGAGATCACCTCCACTGTTGTTAGAGTTACTCGGATGTTCATATAAAATATTCCCAGCTTCAGTCAAAGTCTAATAAGATCACAACTCTGAAAAATGTAGTAACACAGGTTCAAGCAGTAATTTTTCCTCACCCAAAGTTTAACTAAAGATTAGATTAACTCCTATTATATCCCTGCTAAATCACGCCTATCAATATTTGAAGCAAGAAACTGAAATACCAAGTTGTGATCACAGAATCATAGACTGGCCTAGGCTGGAAGGGACTTCAGAGATCATCTGAGCCTTCTTCACTAAACAAAATAAACACACAGACTAAATCAGACTGACTGCATAAAAGGAAGCAATGAGACAAAAAATCTGCTTTATTTTCTGTTGGACAATGTCTTTAAGAATGCTGACTTTACTCCTGATGTAGGAGGCTTATGTGTGTGATTTCTGATGGCCTAGTCATAGTGATACTGATGTTTCCTGAATATTTTTGGAAGCATCAATTATTCCGGAGTGCATTTTGGACATCTCTCGCTCTAGAACCACTGTTCACCCAAATAATTTTCTTGGAAATTCTGATCTAGTTATACTTTGACTGTTCAGAGTTATGCTGAACACTCCATTTCCGCACAGCACATAGCAAACTCACCAGAGATCAGAGTCCCTGCATATGAAAAGACAACGAAGCAAGAACATTACAATTATTGCAAAAACCCCAACAAATACAAACATAAAATATCAAGTACGGTTCTCTGAAAGCATAGGAATGTACAATTTTTTCTTAAGGTAGTAACTCAACAATAAATTTAACGTTGCCATCTCTCTTTAAGTTAGAAACAGAAATAAAGTAGTTTTGTAACACGATTATAGTTTAGGATTACAACTACATTTACAAACAAGCCAAGAACAATAGGGTTTAGTGAGGGAAAGTTTTGAGTTCCAAAGCCACAAAACCTGGCATCACTGAAGGTAATGGGAGATTTGCCATTTCCTAACATAAAACCCAGAGTCTTTGCAAATTATGGCTTAAGTCTTGAAAACACTCAGTAACTGCGCGGAAGTCACCTTGCAGTTGAGTTTCACATTGTCTAAGTAGCACTGACTACATTTCCAAACCACTGCCTAGTTTTAATGTCTGCCAAATAACCAGGATTCCTAAATGAATGCGCAAGACAGAAACTACGTACGTTCAGTAATTTTACTCATTACAGTTAAATTGTTAAATCTTTTCATGTGGTTTTATTTAATGTATATTAGATGCATCCAGCAGAATGTTATTGTTCCACAGATTAGTAATCACTATTTCTCAGTGAAGATCTTCTATCTCATATAATTTTCCTAAGACTATTAGTTCTACAAAATAAGAGTATACTTTAGAGACAGAAGTGAAATGTAATTATAAATACAACAAATGTATCAGGGATGCACCATATTTGTTTTTGTAAGTGATTCCTGCAAGTTCACAGGAAAATGCTTCAAATTTTTTGTTGATTTCAGTGGAGCTTAAGATTTGAGCCAAAGAAATTTATACATTTCAAGACTGTGATGTTTTATCTTCTTATAGTATGTTATAAAAAACCCCCAACAAACAAAAAAACATTTGATGGCTATTACTGTCCACTTATATGAAAGATCCTGCGAGAAATCATGTTTCATGAGAACACCTCAATAACTGAATTTAATGCAACTTAATAAACTCATCTGATGCACATAACACTTTAGTATCCATAAACATGGAATACATTCTAAGAATAGTTGGAGGCTTAATCCTTTCATATTAAATTTCACCAAGTTCCCCCTCCCCATCCTGAAGAAACTTTAAGGACACTCAGGATGACTAAATTGTGATTCCCAAGTCACATACAAGTCTCAGGCTGCCTAAGCACGGCTTCCAAAGCGTTAGATTAGCAGCACACAAGTCTATGCTGAACAGTCAAAACCTCCAGTCACGTCAAAAAAGTAAACAGAACGAGCGAGTGAGATTACCCACATCAGCAAAAGCTCAGAATTAGGTATTTTAAAAGAATTCACTAGTGTATTACCTAAAGGGTTTAGAGCTTTAGAGACATTCAGAAAACTAAATAGGCCACTTTTCAAGTTTTTACAAACTCCACGGTTTGTGTGTCTTACCGTGAGGCTGTGTCAAAAGCAGCTCAGGTGCCAGGTAGTCTGGGGTCCCTAGGATGCGTTCGCCTTCTACTGGGGCAGCTCCTCTTCTTACACTCTTCGGAGTCCTATATGGTGTGCCAGTGTCTCCCTGATGAGGTGTCTTAAAAGATGCAACAAAGATTTCAGATGCCAAACAAAAACCAGCTGAAAGATTCTTACACCCATCACTAAATCTGAATATAACAGTTGATAAGTTCAAGCCAAAAAACAGTCTCTAAAAAAGTATGTGTGAAATGTGCTTCCATTTCTTATCTCAACCATCCTGAACCATAAAGAGTTAATTGATGCCCACTCTGTAAGAAAACTTTAGAGAAGTTCTTCTTCCAGTATCAAATCCTTGAAAAAAACCAACCAAAACCCAACAAAACAACCCCCCCACACACACATCCCCAAAAAACACCACCAAAAAATCCCCACAAAGCATCACTACAAACCCAATCTTACATTCCTTTCAAATTCAGATATGAAGATAACCTACTAAACATAGTATCTAAACAGCCTTCAGTTTTAGCACATGAATTCAATATTAGCCCATGAAAAGCAAGCATATGTCAAATACCTGTAAAATAAAAAGGAGAATACTGAATATTGCATTACAGGTGTACTTAAAATACATCAGATGAGCTCTTTTTGTTTAACTTCTATCCTATGGGTTGCATAATACCTGCAGATCAAGTTCTGCTCAAGTCAGACTTAGTGACTTTTTACAACTACATCAACCTGAAAGTAATTTGGGACATTATTTTAAGATAAAATATGCAGGCTTGCAAAGAGGTAAGTTCTCACAGCGAATAGCCTGACTGCAATGAAAGATTTCCCTCTTATCACCTGGAGATAATATTAAGTTATCTTGCATAGACTCTCATTCTTTATTCTTCAATATAACCTTAATTCTCATCTATCTGGTATAATTTTATTTCTGACTTCATCTTCAGTGCAGCAAAGACCAATTCATTATCACTACGCCGTAAATGCTATAGAATCCACTATTAAAATAGAAAAGAGGTAATCAGACAGCAAAGATCTGATTTTAAAAAGAATCACAAAAGTATATTAAAAATGGTATCCTCCTTTTTTAAGTTAAAAAAACATAACACATCAGTCATTTATTTCTCAGGAGATGAAGTGTGTACTACTCTGACTCCATGTCAGCTGATAAGTTTCATAGCCAAGTCAAACTTTATGCAGGTGAAACAGAAGCTAGAAACTCAAACAAAAGACATCAGGGAAAAAAAAAAAGTAATCCCCAAAATAACGTTTTGAATGACCCCTTTGGGTACACTAAATCAGTCACCATACTGCCTGTTCCGTCAGAAACCTTTAAATCCTACAATTCAAACCTAAGGAACTGGATGAAGGTCTTGTAAAGCTACACCAAACTGAAACAGAAAACACTGATTGAAAAGTATACGTTAGTACAATAAGACCTTTACTTACTATCAGGATTAAAAAGGCCAAAAGCAAAATCTTAATAACCTGCAAGCAGCTGTTAACGTTTACATCAATCTTTGTAATAGGCCTACAACTTTGTAATAGGCACTTGACAGTACCATCACTTTTACCAGGATGAAAAGAAAATAAAAATAAAATAGCAAACAATAGCAGTAAATAGCAGTTGAACAGCATTTGCAGACCATCTTGGAAAGGATGCAGGATAGCAAAAAAGGAAAATAAAACAAAAAAACCAAATAATCAGGACTTCCCATTACATCAGGAAACCTCTAATTGTTCACAGCAAGTACCACACTGCACTAAAAGTAGGATGAGACAAATTAGCGCAGGCTTTCTTTACCAGTTCACTATAAGAGCAAAGGATTTGTCCGAGAAGTGGAGAGGAAATACACGGGGAGCCAGAGGCAAAAGAGCGGACATACAGTTATTGCTAAGCTCTTACAAAAATTATAATTTTGACCACACAAGTGCAATAAGTGAAAGCCTGTCAGCAAAGGTCACTTTGACAGACTACCTCAAACTACCTAAATTCTCCCTAAATTATCAGCTGAAATAATTTCAGATCACTAATGTCTAAGGCATAAACAAAATTTCTACCCGTCTCCTTACATACCTGGTAGACTCGATAGGGTCTTCCTTTCTGTAATGGAGTAATAGCTGTTGGGTAAGAGCCACTACAAGCAGGTGAAAGATCCATTATATCTAAGGAAGTCATGCTACATGGCTCAGATACATTAGATATATTAATTGGACTATTATAACTTCGAAAAACAACAGCATTTTTTTTTAAGAGATTCAATGCTTCCATCATCTTTTCTGAGGACGACGGTACTGTTTCAAGGTAAGTTTCTTTTACACATTTTTCGTTCTTATCGTTTTCAGGACATAACAGCTTGCAGTGCTGGACAGCACAGGTTTCCTCTCTGTTTTGTGAGGCATCTTGGGACTCAGGTGACGTTATTAGTGCACCTTCTGGTTTTGGTTCCTCAAATGAAAGATCTTTAACACTTTTGTCCAAATCTGTAAGCTGCTTTTCTAAATGGCTTTCTGTAACAGACATTTCAGGAAACGATAAGTCAGAATCTGCACTAAGGATTCCTAAAGGTTTTTCATCATCAGTGCCTAAAAAACTTGAGTTCATGTACTCCTTTTTATCATCCTTTTCGGAGTCTGCATCCAGATCACACATAAGATTTTTAGCTATAGTTGGAGTAAGTAATTTTTCTGCAGTTTGCTGGTGACCAGTAAGACTCTTAACTTCTTCCTTGCCTTTGCAGGCGTCACGCAGGTGCCCATCGTCACAAAGCATTAAGGATCGAATTTCTGTTGTCAAACCTGTCCTTTTATTTGCTGGAAATTCTGCGATTTGACAGCCACGTTTATATTCTGCGTTGCTTTTTTTAACATAGTTAAGTTCCTCACGAGGACTAGTGTCAACTAATTCAAAGCTTCTTTTTACACCTGGCTTCTCAAAAATTTCTTCCTCTTTGATAGGCTTGACCAGTTCATTCTGTCGTGAAGGCGACCGCTGTTGACTGGAGGTTTCTGCTGTTTCATTAGCCATATCTCTTTTACTTACAGAGAGTTTTTCTTCCCAAACCTTATTTTCAGAAAGACATTTTCTAACCATGCCTTTCACATCTAGTGTGGTGATGGGAGTACCTGTTACATCAGAATGTTCATTTCCCAGCTTCTGCCTACTGCTGGAATCATTGCTGCTGATAGGAGAAATGGCAGACTCCAGTTCTTTTTTCTTTAACACTTTAATACCTTTGCTATTCAAGAATTCTACACTTGAAAGGAGAGCTGACCCACTGTTAGTTGTTTTGCCTGTTGCAGAACATGCTTCATCTTCATTTGGCTGCAAATGAGCACATTAAGTTTTGAGTATCAAGAAAAACAGCATTACAGCATTATAGAAATGTGTGCCTTAAAATACCTTATTTCCACTTCCATAAGGAACTGCAGATGGGCAAGCATTACTTACTCTTTATAACCACTTGAGGTGACAAACATGACATAATACATTAAAAATATTCAAAACTAAGTTAGGGATAATTTAATAATTTTACTTTAAGAACATAAGCTTGCTAGAATATAATAGAAATTGCAATATTTTTAAATGTCTAAGGATGAACAAATAAAGCAATTAAAGCCGTATTTGTGACATTATGTTAAGAACTTGCAGACGTTCTTGGTTTCCCAGAAAACCCAAACTAAAGAACCCCATCATACTACCCTGTGGCACTTCAGTCATAACTAAAGAAAAGCCTGTTTTTTACTAGTATTTTGGTAACACAATACTAAAAACAAGACCTTTGGAAGTGGACAGATAAAGAATTATAAATTGTTTTAAATGGAAGTTTATGTGCGTAATCTAAATAGAAATTGTGGCAAAGGACTAAACAGCACAGAAGCATTTTCTTTTAGGTTTGTATCTGTACAGAATTTCATTGAAAGTTTAAAGCAGAAGAAATTATTTTTTTATTAGCTATATTTTCTGATGTTAGGTTAGTCAATATAAAACCCTTCAGTAGCATAAGCCTTAAACTTTCTCAGTTTTTAATAGCTAGTAGAAGTTTGAAGTGTATTTTATTTATTATTTTTCCCAAGTTCTGCCTTTCAAAGCAATTCTTCTGTCTGCATGCTCAGCTAATAAAGCCACAGGGCTAAGGTCAGCTTCCAGAGAGCCAGTGCTCCCAGCACTGCCCACCTTGAGAAGAATAGAGCTAAACCAGTGCCATCCTACAGAAGTCATCTCTTTCACTCCTTTGCTGCAGGCTAAATGGCATTGGCTCCTGTTATGTTGCACATAGTATAGAATCATAGAATAGCTTCAGCTGGAAGAAACCTAGAAAATAATCAAGTCCAGCCTTTTTCCCAGCCCTATCACCTACTAAACGATTTCCCCCAACGCAACATCCATCCATCTCTTAAACACCTCCAGGGACAGTGACTCAGTTATCTCCCCGGGCAGCCTGTTCCAATGGCTGACAACCCCTTCAGTAAAGAAATGCTTCCTAATATCCAACCTGAACCTCCCCTGGTGCAATTTAAATCCATTTCCCCTCATCCTATCACTCTCCACTAGGGAGAGTTTGATCCAAAACTCCTACTTAGCAAGGATTACAACTCCTGCTCCTTCGCCTGTAGGAAGGCTTCTCTATGCTTGAAATAACCAGGGGAAAGTAAGTAGAGCAGATCTGCAGCAGTGCACATACAAATACAAGCTAATTTTCATTTATAATGGGAAAATGAAACAGTCCTGACCTCTACATCTTTCTCCCACCTGGGGCTGCTGCAGCATTCTGATTCCATACTGGACACATACGTGTGCGACTGACTACTGGCACTGGAGGTACCAAACCTTTTTCTTGACTGAAGTAGAACAGGAGTTAAACTTCTCACTGGCATCACAGGAGTTAGTTGAGAAGTATCAAGATCTTGAGAGAGAAAAAAATAAAACGCAAATGTTGATAGAAATAGGCAACACATAATCAACTTCACATTATGTCAGGCTTTCACAAAGGAAGTTATTGGAAGCTATGTGTAACATAATTTCACTTGTAATCTTTCCTGCATAGTCAATTTATTAATTTTTTGAAGTAGCAACTTGTCAAGAATTTAAAAGCAATATGAACATTAGCAACACAGTAGCCTTCTTTCTCATTTCAGGTTAGAATTGAGAAAGCAGTAAGACAAGACAATTTAAATTAAAGCACATATTGCTTTATTAAATAATTTCCAATCAAAGTACGCCAAGGACTGACACTATTTCTGTAAAATCTCAAAGGGTCACTTGAAATTCAATGATTGTGCATTTGAAAAGAAAAATTAAAATAAACCCAAAACACCAACAAAATATGACTAAGTAGTTTAGGTGAAAAAACGTCACATCTTAAATACCGGAGGAATGGTAGACAACAAGACACTGATAGAAACATACCTTTTATCAAGCAGGTCCAAGCTACTCACATAAAATTAAAATACCGTAACCTTACAGCCAGAGTACTACGTGGTATAAGGCTTGGTATACTCACATGTTTTGAATAATTTAGTTGAAAGGGGAGTATTTTCCTTTTGGACCATAGGTAAGGGAGAAACCATTCCATGCAGACTGTCAGATGACTGACTTGAATGGCAGTGTGGCGTTTTCATTCTAACAGGAGTATACTATCAAGCAGGAAGAAGCATAGTCAAAAGTTAATGGAGCCTGAACAAAACATCCAGGATTAGGAGTACAATTCCACACATTCTTTATTTTGTTTGCATTGGAGCTTAGCTATACCCCTCTGCCATTTTTTTTTTAAGCATGACTGATAGTCCAAGGTAATCACTTTTGAAACTCAAAGTACTGGAAATATAAGTCATTCTACCAGCTGGCAGAAGAGATGCAAGAATATCATCATCACTCCTATTACTACATTTAAGACAGTAAGTAAACTAAAAGAATGAAGTACATCAAAGACAGGAAAAATTACTTACAAACCCCAGAGAACTGATGAGAGACAGCAATTGTCCTGGAGTACGTGAGTAGTCTTGTTTTGGCTTTGCCATCGTTGGTGTAGTAAGGATATCTATCATATTGATCTCTACAAACAGATTAAAAATAATTAAGCAGGTCAGGTTTTCCTCTGGTACTAAATAAGCACAATTACAGGCATTTACTTAAAGTTTTATCAAGAGGGAAAGAATTCAGTCACATACTGAAATATACAAAAGAAGCCACAAACCCAATTGAACACATACCTGTACATTCTTGTTCAACACAACCTGTTTCTTCTTGTACATGCATCATAAAATTAGTTTATAAATACGCAAACTGTAAAAGTCCAATTTCTTTTCCAACATACTAGGTTGCGAGTGTTACATTTTCTAACTTGATGCCAGTTTTTATTTTTAAGTGGCAATTCCAGCCTATGCCTTGTGCGCTAAGATGGTAAATTTGATTCAAAGTCTGCCTTCTCTCTCAAAGGCATCTCAAAAAAAAAAAAGCTAGACAAATTTTTCGTAGGTGAAAATTTAACCTTAGATGTAATTTTTTGCTTGCTCAAGACAAGTAGGCTTATAGCTTACATATCATGTTTAACTAGACACTTTAGAGCATATTTCATGCACCCTTGCCCTAGCTTCTGAAGTACAACACTTAGAGCAGACCCTTTACTAGCACATACTTTACTAGCACCTACCTGCTAGAAATCAGATACTAGTGCCACATTTGGGCTTACTTAACTGAAAGCTGCCCTCTATGGGGATGTAAAGCATTCAAGAATAGAGGAATGTAACACAAAAATACATTCTAATACAACCAAAAGGATACAGACAACTCTTACCTCTGTTCAAAGTAACTCTGGAAAGCCCGAAGTCTGTCAGCTTTATATGGCCCTGATTAGAAATGAGCATATTGTCTGGCTTCAGATCCCTGGAGACATGAATATAGTTGAAGTCAGCAAAAAGAAAATTAAGCAATATTAAGAAAGTTAACTGGCCAGAAACACTCAATACAAAACATTGAATAAAGCCGTTTCTCAGTAACCTCTTAGCCAGCAGATTCCAACTGGAAGAGTACACCAAAAGAGTTAAACTTATCTAGAACTAAATATTGTACAAACATCCCAGGTCTTGTAAAACCACCATCCATGGCACAATTTCATGTTTCAGCAGGTTTAACAGTGTTCTTAGTACTATCATCACTATTTTCACTAATGTGTAGCTCCTATAGATGACAAGCAAACATCTTCCTGCCTGTTCTCTGTAGCTCCACTGAATGCAGCAAAAAACCTCTCACTACAGGGGGAGCACGAGAGCAGACAACGTCCCTTTGTCCTACAGTTACGTGTCTGCAGTATCCAGAGGGTCCTGGAACTAATCCTCATTTAAAAGCCACAAAGAGAGAGAGAGGACTTGGCATCCCAGCTGCTAACACACCCCTGCGCTTTGGGACGAGCACGCAGGCAGGGGAAGGCTGTATGCATTTGTCTGCTTAACATATATGGCCAAATTTTATTTCAGGTACTGTTTCCCAATATTGCTGCTGTATACACAGGTATACAGAAGCTCTAGCAAATGAGGTGGCCATTACTATAAAACAGTGATTGGCTATGTGTTTCAGTGAAAGCTTAAAACCCCAAACTACCATATTTATTTGTAACAGAAAAGAACTAGATTCTACCTGTGGATTATCCCATGCCTGTGAAGATAGTCAAGAGCCAACGCTGCTTCAGAAATATACTTAACAGCCATTTCTTCATCAAAATATCCATAAATATGAAGAAGAGATTTGACGTCGCCACCAATAAGGTACTCCATCACCTGCCAGTCAAGCATTTTAGATTTAAACATTTTAAAAACACACTTCAAATTTGCAAGTAAAACACAAAATAGTTTTCACCTTTAGAAAAATATAATTTCAAAAGCTGATAGAAGCTTCCTTGTGTGAACTTCAATTCCCATAAAACACTTCACTTGGATAAAATAATTAAAGCTTCATATGAGAGAAGACACGAAACATTTTCTTTTAAAAGAATACCATTTACTTATTTTGTATTATTTGCCTATCCAACTTTCTGTCAAATAACTACTGTGGAGAGCTTTTCAATTATTTTCTGAAAGATTTCTATATTATGAAAAATAAATTGCAAAGCACTTCAGTGAAATGCAATGGCTGAAGCCAAAGACCACTGATAACTGTTCCATGCAAATCAGAGTATCTCAGTGATTTTATCTTGCAAGTGTTTATATACAATATTAAATTCAGATCTGAGCCTTGTGAAATAAACGCAAATTTCCAGAAATGTATACAGTGAGAGCTCCTGTGCACTTAAGACAAGAAAAATTGTGTTTTACATTCTTTTCTACTCCATGCAGCAGTTAACAGGAAAAGAAGTCTTCATTTATACTCAAAATACATTGTAGGAGTGCAAAGCATTCTCATCTCAGAATTTAACCAAGCTGTTCACTGTGTGTGCTTACAGCAAAGCAGAGAAATTGTGCTAGACACTTTATAAACTGTCTTAATCCATACTACCTTTATGTGGAGGCAGTACATAAGAGCTGCAAGAGAAAGTACGTGAACCTTCTGGATTTCGTGGTGTTCTGCATTAATTTGCCATAAAATGTGATCTAACTGTCCTCTAAGTCAAGAGTATTGACAAACATAATTTGCCTAAAATAATAACACAAAAACAATTCTGACCCTCCATGTCTTTATTGAACACACTCACTCAACATGTAAAATGCTAGTGGAAAAAGTGAATCCTTGAGTTGACCTCTAAAAAGCTAATCAGAGTCAGGTTAACCTGGAGTCTTGTTAAGAAAATTAGTTTGGAGGTTTGGACTAGAGCTACGCTGATAAAAACCACTCAAACTTTTTGAGTTTGCTCTGCACAAGACGTATGCTTATTTGAGCCATGCCTTGCCAGAAAGAGCTTTCAGAGGATCTACGATCAAGAACTGTTGATTTACATAAATCTGGAAAAGGTTACAAAGTGATTTCAAAGACCTTAGAAATTCACCTGTCTATAGTTAGGCAAACTATCTACAAACGGAGACACTCTGGGACTGTGGCTATTCTGCCAAGAAGTGGGCACCCAATCAAAATGACCCCAAGAGCACAATGAAGACTCATCAACAAGGTAAAGAAACAATCGCAAGTGACAGCCAAAGAGTTGAAGGCATCGTTGGAACTGGCTAACATCTGTGTTCATGCGTCCACAGTACGTAAAACATTGAACAAGAAGGGTGTCTGTGGCAAGACACCACGAAGGAATCCACTGCTTACTACAAAGAACATTGCTGCATGCCTGAAGTTTGCAACAGAGCACACCGACACTCCACAGTGGTATCGGCAAAATGTTTTGTGGACTGATGAGACAAAGATTGCACTATTTGTAAAGAACACACAGCACTACATCTGGCATAAAAACAGCATTGCCGTTTATATCATCATGGAAACATCATCCCAGCTGTAATGTATGGTGGAGGAAACATCACGATTCAGGCCTGCTTTGCTGCATCAGGGCCTGGCCAGCTTGCAGTCACTGAGGGGAAGAGAAAGACCCAAGTTTATCAAAAAATTCTTCAGGATAATGCAAGAATGCATGTATGTCAGCTGAAACTCTGCAGATGCAACAGGACAATGACCCAAAACACCGGAACAAGTCCACAACAGAACGGCTTCAGAAAAACAAAATGTGGCTGAGTGGCTGAGCCAGAGCCCAGACCTCAACCCAACAGAGATGCTATGGAATGAATTGAAGAGAGCTGTACACGAGATGACCAAAGAATATGACAGAGCTAAAGCAGTTCTGCCAAGAATGAGCTAAAATCCCTCCTGAATGATGTGCAGGTCTGATCCACAGCTACAGGAAGCACCTGGTCGATGTTACTGCTGCCAATGGGGGGGTCAACCAATTACCAATTTCAAGGGTTCACTTACTTTTTCTAACATTTTGCACATCAAGTGAGCGTGTTCAATAAAGACATGGAGGATCAGAATTGGTTTTGTGTTATTATTTTAGGCACATTATATATTGTCAACGCTCTTGACTTCAGTGGCAGTTACATCACATTTTATGAAAAATTAGTACAGAACAGAATTCCAAGAAGTTCAACATACTTTTTCCTGCAACTGTAAAACCATATTCACATTCTACCGTACTCCACAGTGGTCCATGTAGACTAGCACTTTGTTTTGCAACTCAGTTATCCTCGTCATCTAAGCCAACTACCATAATGAATTTTGAGTACAGGCAACAAGTGAACCAGATTTCCTTTAAGTGAGCCTCAGGGTGTCTTTCAGTCACTTGGATTCTGGTTAAACAGAATGGTGTCTTGTTTTGTTTTCCCTACTATTCCTACATATTCCTAAAACAGATTAGCTATTAGAAAAGACTCTCCTAAAAAAGGGAACACAGGTAGAAGGATCTCAATGTACCAGGGGAAAATAAATATTTCACTTATTCAATCATTTTGAGAAAGAAAGTAAAAGTGACTAATACCCATTCAGTACCATAAAAATATTTTCAGGCATGAACATAGTTCCACATTCCATTTTCAACACTATCATAAAACACCACAGCCATTTATTTACTCACTAAATAGATGTTATTAGCTGACTGAAGTGAGTAGTATAAGTGCACAATGAAAGGACTTTTACTGAGAGCCAATGCATCCCTCTCTGCCTGGACCTGATGAACCATATTTTTGTTGATCATGTCTGCTTTTTTCATCACCTGAAAAACAGAACAAAATCAAGTCAATACATATTCTCTTTGCTCAACCCACAGTTCTTTAGCAAAATAATTTATCTCTATACTTCAAACTTGCATATATACATACATATAAAACAGAGCTAAAGCTTCATTTAGAGACAGAATTTGAAACTACAGGTTATTAGAGAACCTTTTTCGTTGCTCCCCTACTTCAGTCCTGAATGGAAATCACGCTAACAACATTTACGGCAATCGCACACACTGGAAAGTGTTTAGGCTGCACGTGAAATTAAGTTGCCCCACATTAATCCTCTTATCCATAGTACACAACTCAGAATGAGGAAAAAGTGCTCGACACTTAGATATACACTTGCAGACCAAGACTTTCCATCTCTTCAGAGACTGAGATATATTGCCTGAGGACTGAAAATGGGATGGTTTACTACTGCATTCTATCTTGGTATCCTGAAGTGCAAGACTACTACTATTCCAGCCTCTAATTTATAGCTTTGCAGAGAAAGTAAATGAATTTTTGCTTAACTTAAAATTTACAACAAATCATCCAAAACACAGATGCTTCCTTGGGGAAAAAAAAAGCCTCAAAGGCTTGCAACTCAAAATGAAGAAATAAGAAGCTTAACTGTGAGTTAGGCTCCAATTTCTGCACTGAATTACTCCACTCTATATTAATCTTTAACAGAAAATGCATAATAGCACAGCTGATGGGTATTCAGGCAAGCATTGCATTAGAAGCTTTCACCTCAAAATGTTTATAGTAAAGAGAGCTCTGAAGGTTTATTTTGCAAGAGTGTTCATATTTCCTTTCCTTTGTGTGCTATGCAGCTGGCTCTATTCCTTTTAATTGCAAAGTCAAGCTCGCACAAACCATTGGTAAAGTTTTTACTGCTGACAAGCCTAAGGTTTTAGTCCTTTTTGTATCAACATACAAAATGCAAGGGTTTTTTTCTTAAAAATCCGTATACCTAGCGAAAACCTTTTTTATAATCTGCTGTCTTTATGGGTTTCAGAAGCAGTTTTCATTCATGAGCAAACGTGAAAAGGGCTGCCCGGTAGCACAACCGCTGAACGCACTCAGTCACAAATATTTACAAGCAAGAAGCAAATCGGCACTGACGCTTCGGCGAAGTTTCCTCGACGTTTAAGGTACTTCTGAAAAAGCAGTTACCGTTATCAGGTGCCTCCTAACCAAAGCCTCCAGGCGAACGGGAAAGCGAGGAGAAAGCGAAACGCAGCCGGGCGGTTCACACACCTGCCCGGCACTGGGCTTCTGCCCGAGGGCGGCGCCTCC